TTTGGAGTGGATTTATTTCTTTATTGGCTTGTGTTTATCTTTAATTAATTAGTGATAAATGAGTGATCTTGAGTTGAGAAGATAGAAAGAGAAATATTTGCATTTGCACAGAAAATCCAAGTGGGTGATGCCATTGACTTTCACAATGCGACAACACCACTAGACTTTATCACTGTTACGTGTGTCCTTCACAAACACAGTTTCATTTTATGCGTGTTGATCTCAGGCAGTACATCGTTTTTTTTTAAGAACTCGTTTATCATTCACTCAAGAGAACACTAAAATTATTATTTTCTTCTTTTATCTTTGAGCTAGATTTAATGTGTTCTTATTATTTTCTTCTATTTTTTTAAAAATAATTTAGCCTTAATATTAATAAGATGAACTAAAATAGTTTTTTTATCATTATAGAATTAACTTTGTCTATAATTTAAACATACTTAATTAAATATAGTAGATACCTTTAATCACAGTTATATTTAAAAGATTAAAACAAATAAAGATTATATTAAATTGATGACTGAACTTAATTAGGTTAGGAGTAAGTTAAAGATTAAAAAGAATAAAATGTGTTATTATAATCTTATTTTATGGATGATTATACTACTACGAAGCTATAGTAATATGAAATATATCTGTTTTCTAAATATTTATAATGAAATATTTTATTTTAATAACATTTTATTTTAATAATATTATGTTATTAAAATGAAATGTTGCATAGTTACTAAAACAAATGTTAGAGAAGTCGAGAAAATATCATTTTTTTTCATTTCTATTTAAATTACTCAAAACAAAAATAAGATTACTCTGGTCACAATATTTTTACATGTGCACTCCAAATAAAAGTTTTACATGTTTCTTTCAAATAAGACACTTCCAGGAAATTAAAAAAATAATAATTGTTACAATGTTTACTTGTCCGAGTACAACCTAGAGCAATGAAAAACTATTATAACAGCTATTATAATAAAAATAACTGTTGCCAGTATTTTTAGGTATTTAGCTATAATAATTATAAAACTTTAATCTCAAATTTGAATTTCAATAATTTAATCCATCTAATTTCCTTCTGCTTATGGTTTAAGTTATTTTATACAAATTTCATAGTAATATCAGGTTTAATTATATTTAGCATAAAAAATTTAAAAATTCTAATTTTTAAAACTCCAAATGTAATCAATGAAGATATAAAAAATTAATATTAAACATTACATTTATGTTCAATCATTACTAGGGTGTATAAGTTATGATTTTTCCTTACATTATCTAAGATATCCAAATTTTTTTAAAAACAATTCTATATAACTGTTTCTAAAATTTATAAAAATAATAACCCAATTTATACACCCTAATTATCCAAGTAAATGTTACCCTTCCATACACTATTGGAAACCTCGTCTCTTATAGTAATCTTAAGAAGGTTACAGTTTGAGTTCGGACAACCCAACAGAAAGCAAAAGCTTATTAAATCCAACTAAAGTTTGGACTGTTCTAACTGAAAAACAAACAAGTTCGTAATCAATTAATGGAAATTTCCATCTTTGGAACGAAAATGGATGAGCAGAAGTTTGAACTACACCCAAAGGCCAAGGAGAGCCTGGGTCTACACTAAACTATTGGGCGTTAATTCTTCTAAGACCAGCCCCTATCAATGAAAAAGGGAATTGGATCTTTTAAGTTAAGGCGCACATCCTCTTGTTAGGAGAGGAAAGCATGTAACTGATGACATTCAGGAGAAACATGGAATTGGTCACCATACAGGGTACGAGGCCTGACCGCAACTTAAGATTCAATTACTATTAAAAAGATCAAAGGATAGGGTGAATGAGTACCAGTAATAAAATCTAATACGAGCAGACCAGAACTAGATTACCAGATCATGAACAAAATCTCCCTAGAGATGGCAATAGCTTCATTCACAAGTAATCAAGGTATTCTAAGTATTTTCATTGGGGTCTACTGGTCTATCTACTGCTTATAATACAAAAAAAAAAAATACAAGTTTTTTGCAATAGACATGAATCCATGCAGAAGGTAAAAGATCATTTAATTGACTGATATAAAATTAACCCCGTAAAGAATACTTCTTCCCTGTAAAAGCTTGAAATTTCGACTCTTCGTTCTCTTTAGGTGGCTC